GTCAGCCACCTATGTTGACCTAGGGATAATCCAGATTTATTATTACTCTCCCTTTTCAGTGGGATAGAAAGGATTTTAGGAAGGTGGGGTTTTTTTGTTGTTTTATAAATATTTCCATGACTCAACACATCTATGAACACACAAAACATTTCCCGTGGCTCTCCTCCTGTTTGCTAACTCATCGTGCCAACAACCTGAACCAGCTTCAAATTCTACAACAACACAGCTGATTAGGCAATCTGTAATTTATATATGTTCACAAATATGTACCAGCATGTGCCTCATTTCACTCCTGCTAATCAGTATGGATTGTTACTATGGCATTCCAATTGTTAGGTTTCTGCTTTACAGGACTTAAACATATGTCCTGGATAGTTTCTTTTAATCGTTTTGTGTGTTTTCCTGGTACCTAGACCCGCCAACCCAGACCAGGACTAGGGATAGGCAATGAAGGCAGCTGGCTAAGGTGCAACAAATAGGGAGTAGGAAGATGGTAAAATGAGGGATACTTTTTAATAGAACTTTATAAACGGAATATTTTGAAGCCAGCCAGAAAATTCTACTTTTTGTGGATTGAAGACTTTTTTTGTGAGTCCAGTTCTGTGGTACTGTAGAATGATCAATGGATTTGGACATAGGTTTGACTCCTAGATTTTCTGTTTACTATCTATGTGACTTTGGGCAAGTCCCTTCACTTCTTTGGGCCTCAGTTTACTAATCAACAAAATAAAAAAGTTGGATTTGGTTATTTCTGAGGTCCCTTCCAGCTCTGTGCTTCATCTTTTACATGAGAGCTGAAAACTGCAATTGTATTAAGGAGTGCAATTTTCTGATTCAACTCCTCAAGCATTTATTAAGTTCCCATTCTATGTCAGACACTGTATTAGAACCTTCCAACCCTACCTAGCATGTACAAATGCCTTGCCCCTTCTCTGCCTGCCTTTCTTGGTCCAGGAGACCTCTTATTTGCTTCCATGAGAATGTTGGCTGTAGTATTAAGCTACTTAAAGATGAAGGAAGATGGCTGTTTCCAACAATGTGCATAACTAAAGCAAGGAGCAAGGTCTGATGCTGCCAAGACAGAGGGAGATTTTATGATCCTCTGATCCGATGAGTACTTAGGCCAACACAAATCCATCCACTCTGAGAAATGAATTACTCCAGTTGGCTGTATACAGTGTACAAATAAATCAAGCAACTGTCAAATATCCCCTTGACTTGAGACTGGGGATGTTTCCAATATTGCCTGGGTTGTTTTCGGTGAAATTGATCCTATTAATGCATCAAATAACCACTATATCTTGCTCTGTACTAGACGGAATCATTTGTAACTAAAACACTGAGACAAAGGTAAAATATTGCCCTTCATTTTGTTAGTACTAGTTTCTCCTCTGCCCTATTATCCTGTGTGGATGCAGTGAGGTGGCTGCTGGTCAAAAAGATGGTTGTTAAAATACTTTATTATATTCCACAGGAAAATGACGTTACTTGAGAGCAAATAATGATGTGACAAGGAAGACCAAGGCAGACTGGAAAAAGTATTGGTTTGAGTTAGCAGGCCCTGGTCTCCATTTGTAACTCTCCCTCGAACTGGATGTGTTACCTTGGATATGTCATTTCTCTTTCTCTTGGCCTCAGTTACTGCTTCAATAAAATGAAGAGTTTGGTGTACATGATCTCCAAAGTTCCTTCCAGTTCAAATATTCTATGACTCTATGACCACTAAAGAAACCGCTCCAACTTAGTGACTATTTTTCCTTTATCCCTCCTCAAACCCCTTTTTAAAAAATTCAACTCCTTTCCCTTCCTCTACCTCCTAGAAGTTAAACTGATATTAATTAACATAGATTAAAACCCAATGTATAAATTACATGGGTCATCAATAATTCTACCAATTCCCTCTAGGTGTCAAAGTGAAGAGAGAGCCAGACTTGAAGTCAGGAAGACCTGAGTTTCAATCCTCCTTGAGACATTTACATCAATAGCACCTATCTTCTAGTATTACTGTAAAGATCAAATGAGATAATATTTGTAAACCATCTAGCACTTAATAAATGCTTGGTCCCTCCTTCTTCTTTATTCCAACCTAGGCTTTTTCCCCCTGTCTTTAAGAAAACTCTGAGTATAGAAAGGAAGCCCAAGGGAATCAGAAAGCATCCAAATCAAATTCTAGCATCTTGGGCATTGACGTTGAATTCCAGTAATGCAGGTGCTCCAGTGGGTTGAATTAGTAGGGTGTGAAAAGCCAGTGATGAGAAGAAGCTCTAATCCTAGTTCTATCATTGCCTGCTGAGCCAGGGGCATTCATTCACATGTCATTTAACATTCACATTCCTCATTTTTTTAACATAAGGAGAGCAATATAAGCAGATCTCTCCCAGCACCCTTACAAGAAGTATTTAATAAAATGTAATGAAACACATTGTAAAAATGAACACGTTATTTAAATGCTTAACAAAAATCACCAAACAATAACAGAAGCAACATCCATATTGCTGCCTTTGTGGAGTAATCCATTTTTAAAATATAAGTACATATATACTTTTTCAGTGTAGAAAAATTGAATATATGAAGATATAAATAGAAAGAATAAATCTGTACTTTTAAACTCAGAATTCTTAGAAATTTTTAAACCCTAGACCAACCCACAATGTTACATTACCTTTGCCATCTAAACATTTATCATTTCAGTAGGGAAAGAGGCAAATAGTTCAGCTGTTGCAAGAAGTACTTTAAAAAAAAACTTCAAGGCAAGCTGTTGTCAGTGGTGCTCAATTTAAAATGTCACTGCTAAAAATGTTCACACATGCTTATTCCATTAGCAGTCCATGGGTGTTTACAAAAAGTTCAGGATGCTCAGGGCCTGTAGTATCTCTGAGATCCGATGAACAGGAAGGAAGTCTTTTCTCTCCTCACCTGCAGGGACCCAGGGGCAGGATTTACAAGGACTTGGCATCTAAGACTTCTATATCTACATCAGCAAATACCCACACATCATATGGGTATACCACAACCTCTGTCCTCACCTACTCATCAATGGTCATTTCTCTCTTCTGTATAAATTGCTCATTAAGGGCCATGACAATTCCCTCCTACTAAGGTTCTCAGATAAGGAAAGAACTTGAAATTCTGTACAGTGATTGGTTCATTTTTCTCTGACCAGTCAATCTCAACAACAACATGAGCTTTTATTTGAAGATCCAAGCCTAATTCCAAAGGTTCAGAGGGCAAATCCAACTCTTTGGAAGTATAGGTTCATTATTGCCATTCAGGTATTATTAATTACCAGAAGCTTTCATAACCTGATAACCACTTTGACCTTGCCTCACAAGCCACCTGCTTCAGTTGAAAAAGAAATCCAAGAAGTGACAGATTACTGGATGGAAAAGAAAGTCCACCCCTCCCCCAAGAACTGCATTGTTCTTCCCTCTTAACATCTCAAGATTTCTAGGAAAGCATTTAAATAATACAGATTAGCTGATGCATACTTGCAGATCCAGTTGATTGTTTATTACTAAAGTAGGATAAATTTAGAATGTGTTTTTATTAGGGAAAACAATATGTAAGTAAATCAGTATAGAACTATAACACCACCAAAAGAAGGGAAAAAATCTCCCTTTGAAATTTCTGCCTTAATCTTACTGGAGGGGCTCATTTTTGTATCCCAGCTGGTTATGTCTCCAAAAGCTTCATGTTTACAAATTTTAAAACCTCATTTCCTGAATTACAGCTACTCAGTTTCTCAGATAAACTGAAAATGTTTTTTTTCTATGAGGAGATGGGGGCTTAAGGAACCCACAAAGTGCACTTAAAGGCTTCTTTCCCTTTCAGCTAATTTTAGCAATTTGATGAATGCATTTGCTCTATACCTACCACCTGCGCCTAGTGCTATTTCCTTTTGACAGGCTCTGCCTCCGGTCTCTTCAGTATTGGCCTCAAAGGTGTTTGAAATCGCTGCTCACTACTGAAGAGAACTTTCTGTAAGTTATTCACATTGAACTAGGACCTGGGGTGGACTGTCGTCTACAAGTGCCCCTGCTACCTTAGCTAACCACAGTTACAATGGAGCTGAGAGCTACTGAGAGATTTTGCTGGACATTTAATTAGTTTATGGGGAAACAGGATCCTGGATTTCACAGCCCAAGTGTGACACATCTCCGCTGTCGTGGGTTTGGACAGGAGAAGGAGATGCTACAAAGGGCTGCACCTGTAACTACTTAATCAGCTCTGCACCTGTGCTCTGGAAAACCCAAGGAAACCCCATCTGACACATGATTCTGACACTTCACACGACACAGGAAGGAGGCATCCACCGGCCGAGGCTGCATCTGGATCTTACCCTTTCCCGATGCCTCTGAACCCTGACGGAGAGAAAAGATGAACGGCCTGCCCTGTGAGCTCCTTTACAAGACTGACCAAGCTGGTGCGGAGTTGACAATCCAAAAGCTCTCCCCACTCCTCCGCCCGTCCGCCTCCACCCCTAACTGGAGGGTTAGCGGCTTAGGGCAGGGCTTGGGTGAGGGTCTGCAGCAGGAGAGCTAAGAAAACCTGCAGTGACCAGAGAACCGGAGGTCCGCGGACGAACCGACTGAGGCGGCTAGCCCGTGGAGGAGGTGCATCCCCCTAGCGCCCCGTCGGGCACCCTGACACTTTTTCAGACTACTTTGTTATCACCCTGCGGAAAGAGGACACCCCAAAAAGGTGCCCCGGGAAGAACTCTCCGGGGTGTGCATCCTCTCCTCGAGACATGCTGCCACCACCACCACCACCATCCCCTGGCCTCGCTAGCTAGCCCCCCTCCCCTTCTCAGCCCTGGGGCTCGCTCCGGGAGGCAGGCAGCATCCTCGCCGCCCTCCCCGTTGCACCGGCTCTGTGAGAGACCAAAGCTCGGGGGGCTGGGGTGCATCCGCTGGAGAGGGGGGCGCGGGACGGCCAAGGGGCGTTTGCCGAACATCAATTCATCTACAACGCGATAGAATCGATTCAAAGGCATCTCTTACCATTGGACCTCCGGACAATATTCTCCAGAAACGTGTTCTGAGGGGCAACCAGCCCCCTTCTGCCCCCAGCCATAGTCATCCTCCCCGCAGCTCTGGGGTTGGGGGGGGAGTCCCGACTCGGCTTTTCACGACTGCAGGAGTCTAGGCGCGGGAGCAGCGCGCGATCCCCGCTCGGAGCTCCCCATGGTCTCCGCTGGGACCCGAGCGGGCTGGTGCAGCGGAGGCGGAGGCTCCCTCCAGCAGCCTCCCTCGCTCTCTTCACGCCTCCCTCCCTCCAGCCCGCCTCGCAATGCACTCGCTCCCAGCTCCTGCTTGCTGCAGCCGCCTCCGGGAGGGGGGGGGGGGGGGGGGGGGGGGGGGGGGGGGGGGAGAATAGAGGAAGCGGAGGGAGGTTCGCCTTGGCCTGCAGCGGCCCCTGGCGGGCGCAGCTGCCCCGGCCTCGCCCCGGGTGCCCAGGAGATGGAGATGCTGAGCAGGGTGGCTCGGGCGGAGGTTGCGGCGGCGGTGGGGAGTAGGGGGCTAAGGAAAAGAATAGGAAGGCTGGGGCAGGAGCGCCATCCTCTGGACAAAGCCTAGAAGGGCCGGGTGGAAAGAAGTGATCTTGACGTTTGATGTAGTGGAAGGGGTTGTCCCTACAGCCTTCTAGCTGTGCGACCTGAACTGAGCCTCAGTTTCCGCAGCTGTTAAAACGAGAATAAAAATTCTTGTGCTGCTTTCCTCAAACTGGTTTTGTGAAGCCCAAATAAGAGAACGTACATAGTGGTAAGATAAAGTACATAAACCTTAAATACCAGTTAGTTTTGGGGAGAGATGTAGAGGCTTATCAGAGCCTGTAGGGACCTCAAGAGGTCATCTAATCCAACCCTTTCATTTTGACAGATGAGGAAACTGAGGCCCAAAGAGATTAAATGACTGAGAAAAGATATTTGAAGGTAAGCCCTGGAGAAAATAATAGCTAGCATTTGTATAGCTCTTGAAAGTTTATGAAGCCCTTTACATATCTTGTCTCGTTTGATCCTCACATCAACCCGAGGAGGTAGGTGCTTTTATTATCCCCATTTTACAGATGAGGAAACTGAAACGGAGAGGTTACGTAACTTGCCCAGGGTACACAGGCTCAAACTTAGGGAAACTTGACCCCTAAGAGCGATCAGGCTTTTCTTCCTCTTTGTCTTATAATGCCCCCACATGTAGTTATTCCAGGAAAATCTCTGTAAACTTAATTTAGGAATAGTGCCCATTGACCATTCCTACTTTCTACATGAGCATACAGGAGATATTAGCAAAAGGCCACAGACTATATATAATGCCCTTGTGTATATATAATTCTTCTTTCTTGTGATAGCTCTTGAAATACATGAAGACAAATCTCTATAAACAATGCATAGGTTTGGTTCCTGTCTGGAGTGTCCCTTCTAGAAAGGTTCCAAATATCCAGCCTCGATCAGGTATAGGATAGCATTTTTTCCTCCATCAAAAAGAGAAATGCTTAAAATACAAACAAATCATAAACACATATTGAAAAATACTTAAAATATGCTACAGTAATCCATGGATAGATAGATATTTGTTATTGTTATTCATTCATGTCTGACTTTTTGTGACCCCATTTGGGGTTTTCTTGGTAAAGGTACTGGAGTGGTTTGCCATTTCCTTCTCCAACTCTTTTTACAGATGAGGAAACTGAGGCAAATGAGGTTAAGTGACCTGTCCAGAGTCATTAGCTAGTAAGTGTCTGATGCCAGGTTTGAACTTAGGAAGATAAGTCTTCCTGACTACTGGCCCAGTGCTCTATCCACTGCACCACCTAGATGTATAGATATAGAAATAGATTCTCTCTTTCCCAGGAGATTGGTACTTAATACATGAAACACTTTATGGGACTGCTGAACAGATATTTCACTTTCACCTTGGAGCCATACCACCTGAGGAATGTGCTCAAGATCCATATCTTCTGGCCAGTCAGACATGTGTGAGTCACATTGCTGTTGGTGGTCATCCAGCACTCCTACTTCTCAATGACTCCTTGCTATCAAATATCTCACTCTCTGGGCTGGGTTGGGGAGGAGGAGAAGAGTCAACATACAAATGCTATATACAAATATTATATATGCAGGATAAATTGGAAATAATCAACAAATATAAGGTTAAATAATTAACAGAAGTACAATTAAGGGGGACTGAGAAAATCTTCCTGTAGAAGATGAAATTTTTGTTGGGACTTGAAGGAAGCCAGGGATGCCAGGAGGAAGAGATGAGGAGGGAGAGCACTTCAGGTATGGCAAATGACCAGTGAAAATTCCTGGAATCTAGAAATAGAACCTCTTGTTCAAGGAACAGCAAAAAGGCCAGTGTCACTGGATTGCAGAATATATGGGGTGGCAGGAGGGAGAGGGAGTTGTAAAGTGTAAGAAGACTGAATTGACTTCAAATCTTGCTTCAAACATTTACAAGCTGTGTGACCCTGGGAAAGTCACTTAATTTTCTGTCTGTCTCAGTTTTCTTATATATAAAATGGGGATAATAGTATCCTATCTTCTAGTATAATTGTGAGGGTAAAATAAGATAATATACATATAATGGGCTTAAAGCTCTATATAAAATAATCATTATTGTCATTATTATGGAACAGTAGAACCCTGGATTTGGAGCCAGATAACCCTGAGTTCAAATCCACTTGACACTTATGTAACCTTAGACAATTCATTTCAACTCTATGAGCCTTAGCTTTCTTATCTACAAAATAAGGAGATTCAAATAAATAGCCTTTCAGGTCCTTTCCATCTGTGAAGATGTGATTCTATAAGTGTAATTTAATATTCAACAAACATTTGTTAAGCACCTGTTATGTACAAAACATTGTACTAGGCTCTATTCTAGATATATAAGAAAAAAGAAACTATCTCCACTTCACGTAGCTCATCTTCCACCAGAAGAAGCATATTCTATGTACATAACTAACTAAATAAAAAGTATTTTTGTAACCAAAAGATATTACTGTGAGGCTAGAGAAAGCAGTATACAAGAAACTGTAAATCAATACTATTTGCTCTTACTTAATCCTTCTTCCAAAAGGATAAATGGAAGGAGCAGATTCCAGATGACACCTGGCTTCTCCCATTAGGCAGTCCCACAAGGTATGACTTTCCACATGTCAATCCCAACCCTCAGTGGAAACTGGAGTTTTTCACTGAGGATCCCCTCCCCTAAGCCATACCTGGCTCTGATTTAATAAAATAAAGGCAAATGGTCCCAGTTCATGTAGGCCATTTCCCTCTATTTGTAGAACTTTAAAGATTATTAATAATCAAAACTATAAGATTATATTTTGCTTTCTGCTCAGAGCCCCATCCAGACTATCTTTATAGAAGTTTAATCCCCTGAGTTATTTTGAATTCTGTGTATCCCAGCTAGTCACTGACATCCTGGAGTCAGAGTCCTTCAAAACCTACCCTACATTCCTCCAAGTTCCTGAGTATCTTGGGTTACTCTTTCAAGAGGGAGACTGAACCAACAACTGGGGAGAGGTAGGAATCAGGAACATCATAACATTGGGGGGGTAGCACCTCTATAATACTTTGAAAGAAGGCAGGGATTGTAAGAGGTAGATACAAAGGAGTCTATTCCAGGCATAACAGTCCACCTATACAAAGGCATGGAGACAGGAAACAGCTAGTAGTCTTGTTTGACTGAAATGAAAAGGTATAGGATATAAGAAACAAAGTCCCAAACTGAATTATATACATTTATATATATAATTATAATATATAAATATATAACATATATTTATAAATATATGTAAATATATAATTATATGTATAGTTATATATATATAAAGCTACAGGTCTTAAAACACAATGGTCAATCTACTTAATTTAGCAAGAAGTACTTCATCTTTCAATTTCAAAAACAGTGTAGACTGAACAAATTGGGACACCAATCAAGGTATGCCTGCTTTGCCACACTTATCCTGTGTTACCTCCCCACACTCTGCCTATGCCTGTCTGCCCAGACCTTGTCATATGTTCATAGATTTAGATCTGGAAGGGAACTCGGAGATCATCTAGTACAATCCCCTCATTTCATAGATAAGGAAATTGAGTCTCAGGAAGAGCAAAAGACTTACTGAAGGTCATACAGGTAGTAAGCATTAGAGGCAGGATTTGAAACCTGGTCCTCTTAGGCCAGGTCTACACATCACACAGTCAAAGACAGCACTGGTAGCTTTCCATTAAATGTGTATTATATACAAAACCGAAATATTTCAAACAAAAGCACACACATTCCTCTTTATGGATCTAGATGATCTGAATTGACTCTGGTGCTCCCTGCTCTGTAGATATACCTGAGAAGGCACACAGAAGACAATTGATATAGAATATAGTGAGAGAGAGATTTTGTAAATGCTAAAGTACAAAAAATAGTATAATCACCAGTTAAGACAGTACTGCCCCAACTCCAATAACACGCTGTACAATTATGATTTCTTACACTCTAGCTCCGTCTAGTGGCCATCCATTTTCTTGTAAATGTGGTGACCAAAATTAGTTAAGGAAAACTTAGCATGCTGTACATCAGACCTGAAAATTTGTTTTTACTTTGCCAACTTTCCAAGCTGATTTGTCTGTGGCTCTTATCCCTGTAGTATCTAATGTATGGATGTATTCAGAGCCCAAAGGTAAAGCTTTCCATGACACTGATTAAATAAAGAAGAAGTACTGAATCTGCCTCCTAATCCTGCTGGGTGAGGTGAAGAGAAAAAGGGAAAGGGGAAAAGCCTGTAGCATGAAACACATAAAACTTCTTAAATTTTAATGAGTTCTCTTGTCCTATTGCTAGATAAAAAAGAAAACAGGTAACATTAATTTGGGATCAGACATTTCTGAAGTCTTTGTAGTCCACCTGATTAGAAAACGAAAAGAGAAATGTCATCCATTTCACATTATGCCACAAGATGATCAAACAAAGTCTGGAAAAGAACCGGGTTACTGTTTCAGGACAGGAAGGGTGTTTTTCAGCTGAAAAGATAGTCTTAAATAAATGTGACCATGGTTCCTGCTACACTGCACAGAGGATATGAAATACTCACTTCTAAGCAAGGACACAGGGCTTGCATTAGAAAAAGTTTTAATATTGGTAAATGCTC